AATAATAATAATAAATAATAATAATAAAAATAATAATAATAAAAATAATAATAATAAAAATAATAATAATAAAAATAATAATAATAAAAATAATAATAATAAAAATAATAATACTAACAATATGTAAAATATATTGCAATTATTGTTATAGATGATAAAGACGATAAACAAGACATGCGAATTTTGAATGAATTGGAGAATATAGACGACGACTTAGAGAAAGAAGGTATTGTCATAATTCGTATGGACAATGATGCTGAAGCGAAAGAATATGGGATAGATCATCTTCCAACTCTCGTTTATTTCGAGGATAAGATACCAGCACTCTATGAAGGGGATCTCCTTAATGAGGATGAAGTACTCAAATGGCTTATCGAGCAAAAAAATACTGCTACAATAGAAGAAGTTACGGATGAAATTCTTACTGACCTCATCGATGAACACGAATACGTTGTTGTATACTTTAGTAAGTTTTCACTATTTTTGTTAAATTTTGATTTAATATTATAAACATATGAGTTTCCTTGCTATTTCACATTTGAATAATTTCTATATAAAAAAAAAACACCAAAATTACTAAAAACAAAGAAAAAAGATTAAATAAAATAAAAATTTTTTAAATTTAAACCTTTACCTTAATTACATTACAGACACAATTTTTAATCACATTTTTGTCCTACTGGCAAAAGAAATTTAGTTAGTCGAAAATGAAAAAGCTAATAAAAATCCCAAAAAATTATAGACACTTAAAATGTTGAATTCTAAAACATATTAAAAATTTTCAAATTAAAGTAAACTTTTTAAAGCACATTGTAAAATACATTATAAAATAATTCGATAATTTTAGCTGGAAATTGCGATGATGGCGATGACTGTGAAAAGGTCTTGAACGAATTGGAAAACATTGACGATGAACTAGATGAGACGGGTATTGTTTTCGTCACGACAGAAGATACAAACGTTGCAAAAAAATACGGAATAAAGAATTTGCCAGCTTTAGCATTCTTCCGTAATAAAGAGCCACTTCTTTATAAAGGTGATATCGAAGATGAAGATGAAGTACTTTCTTGGCTCACGGATGAAAATACTCTGGAAATTCCTGGAAAAATTGAGGAAGTTAATGCAAAAATGTTGGAAAATATTCTCGACGAAAATGATTACGTTGTTGTTTTCTTTTGTAAGTATGCATTTAAGAAGCAACCGTTAAATGGATTAATTTTTTTGTTTTCTTTTCTATAACATTTTGAAATTTACATACATAGTAACAATGATATGTTAAATTTATTGACTAAAAAATTTGAAAAATTAAATGTAAAAGTAATTATTAAAATTATTTTTACTTAATAATGCAATATAACGATAGAATATGTTTTTATTTGTTTATGAAAAGATAAAGAAGGTGATAAAAAAAGTCAGAAAATTCTTCAAGAGCTCGAAAACATTGATGAAGAATGTGAAGAAAAAGACATTGACTTTGTCAAAATTTCGGATGAAGGCATTGATAAAGAATACGATCTTTCCAATTTGCCCGCTTTAGCTTTCTATAGACACAAGTTCCGACAAATATATACGGGTGATTTAATGCACGAAGAGGATATTTTAGATTGGGTTCTCAATTTGCGCACGTCGACACCTGACATCATCGAAAATGTTGATCGAAAAACCTTACAAGTTCTTATTAACGATGTCGAACATCTCGCTGTATTTTTCTGTAAGATATATTTACTTATAAATTATATTTATTTACAATTTACCACTAAATATATATGTGTATATATATATATATATATATATATAGAGAGAGAGAGACTATTAAAAAACAATTTCATGTACTATGCTAATTACACAACAATTATTTATAGATGATGATGATTGTGAATCTTGTAAAGAGATTCTGGAAGAGCTCGAGACAATTGATGACGACACTGATAAACATGGCATTCAGTTTGTTAAATCGAAAGATGCTAAACTTGCAGCAGAAATTGGTATATTCTCATTTCCAGCTCTAGTATATTACGAAACTGGAGTACCCATCATGTACGACGGTAAGAAAACTTCAAATCCGCAAGCCACTCATTAACAATGATTCTTTTTTTAGCAACATAACTAATTTCACCATAAAAACATGTATCTGCAAATATATTTATATATATACATATGTGTTTGTCTGTGTCTGTGTGTGTGTGTGTGTGTGTGTGTGTGCGCGCGCGCGCGTGCGTGTGTATGTTTGTACGTGTGTATGCGTGCGCGTGTGTGTGAATGTATGCGTGTGTGCGTGGGTTCGTGTATGTATGCATGTATGTATGCATGTATGTATGCATGTATGCATATTAATTTCTAAAAAAGTAGATATAAAATAAAATTGACATACGCAATTAAATTTTATACATTGAACTGAATATTTTATATTATGCATTTAATGATTAAAAGAATAAAATACATTATAAAACTGAAAAATATTTTCAAACATTATATATAACTTAGTAAGCAATTGAATAAATTCAAAATTAAAAGTTAAACTCATTTTATTCATTTTTAATTAATTCCATTAATTTTGCATTTATCTTCATAATGTATACCATTTTCTTTCCAAACATTTATCCAAAAAAATGTTTGTAATGTATACAGGAATCGTAGTATTTTACTACCAATAAATAATTAATTAGGAAAAGTTTAACTAAAAATTTATAATATAAATTTCTCTTATTTGTATATAAAAATAAACATTAATAAAATCCATAATAGCATATATTAATTTCATATTTATACAATAATCACATTCAATATTAGTAATGAACTGAAATGAAATATTAATTATTAATATTATTAAAAATATAGTTTGAAAATATAATTTCAATATTAAAACACAATTTTTTATGAATATCGATTTAAATATAAGATATTTTTTCCTTTTCAAACTTTCTCAATATCGTACATTATATTTTCAAACATTCTATAAGAATATTTATACATTTTTCATACATCAATCATATAATTTAAATTTTTTATAAAATTTTGAATGAAAGATTAATTCTGTTTTTAGACATTTTATGCCATGTGTAAATATTGATAATATATGCAAATTTTCTTAATAATCATGTAAAATGTGTAGAAATAGGTAGAGCTTTATTATAAAAAATATTGTATTTTATTTAAATAATTTACATAGAGTTACATATATGTTCCAACCTCGTTAAAGGTAAGCATAACATATACTTTTAAATAAATTCGTTTATAAAATGTAGCAATTAAATGATTGAGGTAAGAAGAATGTATTTTTTTTGTGTGTAACAAATTATTTATTTTAATTTCTTTTTTTTTTTTTTTTAATTGTACATAAATTATTTAAAATATTATAATAATTCAAAAGTTTAATCATTGATTTTAATCGATAAAAAGATAGAATTTGAATCACAAATCAAGAAAGCTTCATCCTTATTGTGCTATGTGTAACTTTTATAGGTAATCTTAAGAAAGAAGACGAAGTTCTGGAATGGCTAATCGATCAGAAAAGTAAGGAGATTTGTAGAATGATGATTATTATCACTGGCGTACTATTCGTTGTGACTCTAATCTCGATCGTAACGATACCACCGGATTACAATTATCAAACACGAGCAATTGTGATAACGCCGATCACGTTGCCACCGCCGCGCTCACCGTAATCACAAACCTTAACATTTACAAATAATTTTTCGATTCATAATTTTTGCATCATATAAGAACTATTCACAATACACATATAATTATAGATCAATTCATTGATAAGATTTAAAACAAATTAAGAATTATGCTTTATTGCGCAAGAAAAGCTGCTTCTTGACAAAAACACTTTTATAAATTAACTACTAGTTTCGTTTATTTGGTACTAGTCATTAATATATTTTTTTTACACTTTTTTCTTATTTTCACGAACTACGTTTACATTAATTATATAAGAATTAAAATGCATTTTACAGCGTCATAAAGAAGGACAAGCGATTAGTTTAAAATCGTGTATCTTGATCTCATGAATAGACTCAAATTTATAGAAAGATTATACCTTCAAAGTGACGCAGCTTCGCTTACGTTAACTCTAACATTTTAATCTTCTTAAAATTTCTCATCCTTTCGTTATATTCGTCTCCTTTTAATCCTCTTCGCATTATATACTGTATTTTACTTTCCTCATTGTCTTTCTAATATCCACTCTTTCTTTCTTTTTTATATTTTATTTTTTCTTTGAATTATTTGAATTTCACGACAATTTCCAATCGTGTATAATATATAAAGATATTAATTCTTAAACATTCAGGTATAATATAATTATATTTAGATTACGATAAAGTTATCTTAATATTACTATCGATCTTAATTTTCTTTACAAAATAAATCAATATATAAATAAAAGCGAACAAACTTGAAATGCATTAGAAAAATATGAATATAGGAATTTTAGTATTTTTATTGAACGAGTTAATCATACTTGAACATTGGTGCTGTTCGTATACAGGTAATGATAATGATGGTGGTGGTCGTGCTCAAAAAACCCGTATACTACCAAAAAGTAAAAATACAGTGCCAAAAAGTAATAATATCATTAATAAACGAAATGAACCAAAGAAAATTAATACTGTCGCAAGCACCGATAATAATAATAATAATACAAAATATGATGACCATTACGTGAACGTCAATAATAAGGATGATAAAAATGAGAATTATAATGAAGATAGTTACACTACTAAGAATGATGACGATAACGACGACAACGACGACGACGACGACGACGACGACGACGACAATGATGACGATGATGATGATGATGATGATGATGCGGTTGAGAACAATGAAGCTGATGATGATGACGACGATGATGCTGGTGATGATGATGATGATGATGATGATGATGATGATGATGATGATGATGATGAGAACGACGACGAAGACGACGACGAGGACGACGACAATGATGGAGACTATAGAGTTAAGGATAATACCAAACGTAAAGATAAAGAAGACGATTGTAGTGGTGAAGATGGAAATTTTAATGATAACGACCACGATGAAGATGATGAGGATTCATCAGTATCAACAAGTGAAGCTGTAAAAGATAACATGGGCAAAGGTAATCGGAGCAGAAAGCTTTCAACAAGCAAGATGAGCATCACATGACATCGACACATTATAGATGTTTTCATTGTTTGGAGAGTGGAATTGATTTATACCATTTGAAACAAATACACATTACAATTAGCAAATGTCGATGGTTCGACATTCAGCAGTTCATAATAGATGCAACTATGTGCAAAATTAATATTAGCGTAGCCAATAGTAAAGAAAATATAAATTTGCTAGATAAAATGCGTAAGATTTTTTTAAATACCCAAAAATAAAATTAGGTCGTCGAGGAAGATTTAAATATTTGAAGGACCACGACGACGGATATTTTGTGCACGAAAAATGGTTTTAATCCCTTGAACCTCAATCTAACGTCAACGAATATCGCATTTGTGAACGTCAAAGCCATAATTATGATTTTATGACATCGAAGTGCTGCCGATTATCTATGTACAATTATCAATTTGTCTGACATTAATTTGTCACTAAATGATATTATTTGCATGTAATAATTAGCTTACCAAACTATTAAGATTCTCAATTATTTATTCTATATATTATTTACATTAACGATTTATTTGTCATAAATAATTGCCCTGAAAATCATCAAGTTGGTGGATTTCACATTGGCGATATTATTTATGTTGATTTTTACAGCCTGTCGCCTGTAGTTAGTTTTGCATTTATTCATAGAAAATAAATCGTGATATTATCATCCAACCGGCTAAATTATAGTTTTAAATTATAACAAATTATTGAACGCTAATATGTTATTTTACAAGAAAAAGCAATAATTTTCTTTTAATTTTTTATTATTAAAACAAAACTTCCTTTTCATTCATCATAAAGGATATTAAAAACAAATAACTATAAGTCTTATCAATAAATCATATAATGTAATAATTATATAATAATCATATATTCTATAGAGTTATATATTCAATTAGATCAAGAGTTTAAATAGCAGTATTATTTTAATGTCCTTTATTATCTTATATCGACGTATGTTCTAAAAGATTTGAAATTGACTATTTTGCGCTAATCTCATAATTCACAATGGCTTGAAACTTTAATTTTTCTCTTAATGTTCATGCATTAATTACAATAAATGATTTATATTCTCGTAAATCTGCAAAGTAGCCAAACAATAAAGCTTAACACGCATAACGAGAAGTTCTTCGACTTTGCTGAAATATATGCATATATCGCGCGAAGTTACTGTAATCTCTGCATATAACTACGCGTTAATTTTAATAATTAATTAATTTTTTCAATTAACTACGCGTTAATTTGAACAGGGCCACGATTATTTGCACGTTTCGCTTTTGCTGCTCGCGTTTATTGAAATTGTAGTGAAGCATCTGTTCGTCTATATAAAATTTTTTCCACTAACATTTTCATAAATTCCTCTTTAATAACTTACTTATCTTTCATTAATTTCATCAATCTCACATCACGCAATATTGACTATTTCCATCAATACACTAATAAACAAAACAATATTAAAAATGCATATAATATAATATTGTTATATTTTTATGTCTATTATATATGTATATGATGTGAGATTGCAGTATAATTTTCATGAAAAGTAAAATAAATAATCCAATTTGCTTATAGTGCAATCAATAATATCGAGGATACAGCGACAAATTAAATTTTTACAACACTAGTATTATAACAAATTCTTTTATTCTGAACCTATAATTACATAAAGATTTTTATCAAATTTTCCAATACTCGAAGTATTAGTAACAATGCAAAAAAAAAATTTCTATGTCAACGCGATTTATATAAAACAAAAAATTTATATTAATTTACTGTATAAACGCAATAATAGATAATTAAATAAATTTTATCGAATACAGAATATTTCTATGATAAAGAAAGAATATTATTTATCAGCGTACCGATGAATTCGCGCGCGAAAAAGAAAACTAAATAAATAAACTATTCGCGCCTAAAAGCTTTGTAAAGCTCGTTGAATTTACCTGTTACGCCTATACTATCCGTCTCATTCATGCTCACGCACACGTACACCCACACGCTCATCCACTCTCTCGCCATCTATCTATCTATCTCATCTTTTTCTTTTTTCTTTTTATCTCATCTACTCAGTAAATGACATTATACTCAACTCTTGTGTCTGACCTTCGAATATTTGCTTACTGCAGGCGACGGCTGTTTCTACATCGGGATGGGAGCTAAACGCGCGAAACCCACGATTCCCTCATATGAGCCATACCAGTGCTGTCCCTCGAAGGTGGCGCGCGGCACGAAGGTGGCCAAGGTCAGTCCCGTAGGGAAGCCAAAACTAGCCCAAGACAACAAGCCAAAGAGGCCTAAGCTCACCTCTACGTCAACGGTGGCAGCCGCGACAGCCTCACCGCCGGCCCTCAAACCCATTAATAAGCTCTCCGCCAAGGACAGCCGTAAGACTCAGCAAGCGGCCCCTCCAAAAAAGGAGGATAAAGCGAAAAAAGAGAGTGTTAAGGCGAAGAAGGGATTTTTTGGAAGCGGTAACTATCACGAATAACAAAGACAAAAATGATGAGCAACCAAAGTACTAGAGCAATTTTTATACAAATTTAAAATATAAAGACAGTGAGACCAATACGACCCCCATTAAAATTCGACTCTATTAACTATGGTTATTCTGGTAATGATAATAGTGACCGCACTGGATAGTCAGACCCGCACAAAGCAACGTGCTCAATGCCTTCTTCCGATTATGCGAATATACAGAGTGAGAGAGGAGAGACAGTGGGAGAAATGCTTTTGCATTGATTGGGTGGGACGTTAGATCGAGAACGTTGAAACGTTACATGTATATCGTGCGTGTGCCCATGTATGCTTTTGTGATGTGCACGTGCACAACGTGGTTTATCCTGCGTATGCTCGTGTTTGCGCGCACGCATTTTTCATCTATGCATGGGCGTACGTGTACATCTGCGGGTACGTGTGTGCGTGCATGCATAGAGGAGGGGATGAATGTACCAGAAAAACGAAACACGATTCGTATATTTATTCTCTTCCGCTGCTTCATCTCGCACCTTTCTCTCTCACGATCGCGAGCTTCGCCCGCTTTTATCTTGACGACGGATGCTGAAGTTGACAATGGACGTAGAAGTACAAAAACAAAGAACAAAGAACAAAGAAACAAAAAACGAAAAACAAAAACACACACACACACACACAAATAAACGATTAAAAACAAAAGTATATTAATAAATGTTAAGTGATAGAGAGCTTCAAGATAGAACGATATGTCTCGGCTTTTCCAGTGGTTGCTGGTCTACCGAACTTCATGAAGATATAGAGCCAGAAGTATCATCGAGAGTCTAATGTCGAGCGCTCAATAATCAGCCATCATCATCAATACCACAGTATTCTCGAGACTCCAGACTGTCAAAAAATCACAAACAAAACAAAACAAAACCAAACAAAATCAGCAGTTCTTTTAGATTTCCCAACTAAATGCGGTAGGAATAATATTTCATACTCGCACAACCGACTTATACAAAACAATGAATAATTTCTCTCTTATCTAATTAGTATTTAATTTCTTATATTACATTTCCTGTCTTTATTGAAAAATTTTTGAGAAATCTTAAATTTATTTATTTATTTAATATTGTATATTGATACGTATGCTGGGCAATTTCGTTCATACGTAGTGTGAAATATACATAAAAGCTATAAAAAAAAATTTATTTTAAACTAAAAATAATTAATATTACATGTAAATATGCATATATTTGAATATTCATATAATCATATATATGTGTATATATAAAGCGTCATCTACTAACTGTATTTATTGCAAGAGTGAAATTGTAATTTTACTTTGTACACAGCGTTATCATTTGTAATTGCCTTCAACGCGCTAATCTTTCTTTGTTTACAGCAACGAACCCTTTTCTCTAAAAGGCAAAAACAAATATAATTAATATAATTTATACCTTTGGTTCCTTTTTTTTTTTTTAACTTGTTATAATAATAACACTGCACGTGGCTTTTATAAGCTTGCTTATCGTGTTAAGAGCAGCGTGATATAATTTTAATCATGTTAATATTAAATTTATTTATGAATTCCGTTATCACATTTATGATGTAACATTTCATTTAACTCACTTGTTCTTTTTCTACATATACTCGGC